TTGGGAATGCCTTTTGAAAAGAAAAATAACTAATCTCGTTGAATTGAGGAAGAACTTAATGCCCCTGGTGCTATAAGAAGAAACAATACAAGAAACAACAATTCAAGATACATACATGCCACGAAAAAGGAAATGTTATTGGTGCTCCTGAATGATGGATTAAACCTGTTAGCTATAGATTGCACGTGCATCTGCTTGTCTGTGGTCCCATAGATGGTTCTAGAATTCTCTGAATTTCTTGAGCCCAAGTCAAAGATGAATCAAAAAATTTCTTCAAATAGAGAAGTGAAAATCTTTCACGATATGCAATATGTGACCAACCACCAACACTTATATAGAGGCTTTTTGTCCATTTTCAACAATTATTTGCTTCGAACGATGGGAAAATATATGGTCGGCTTCGATTAACTTCTTCTTCATAATCTAATGAAAGATTTTCCTATGCTGATGGCATTCCGACCTTTTTATGGACATGATGACAGCCTTCAATTCTCATAGCTAAGTAGTTAATACAATGCTTGCATCCTTGAAGCTGATAAATGTTATCTATTTGCTTTACATTTTTTAATCTGTTGGAGCACCTGGCTTAATATTATGAACTCTTCTTGCCGCTTGTGTAGAGCACAATAAACTCACTAGTAACTGTCTTTTGCCTAATAAATAATTTTGCTGAAATTTCCTTGACTCGTCTATTCACCATGCAATGACATTGTCTCTTCATAAGCATCAACTCAAAGGAAGTGTATTTGCAATTAGCCATACTTGAGTTAACCTTTTCCCTTTAATTACTTTTTAGGCTCATGGAATGATTGAGATGCCAAACCCTCCTCCAGAGTTACTAATTTTTGAACCATTTATTGAGACTGATGAGATCATTATGTCGTCTAAATCTACGAATGAAAATGCTTCTCACCTCATGTGGGAAGGACGCAGTCGATGGGTAGAAATTACAGTCGGAGTAATAGGAAAGCGAGGATCCATGCACTCGCTGAGTCCTAGCGTAACTGTCAAGGAAACTGGAGACATTCTATCACTTGAAGAGAAGTTCCAAGGTGTGCTTTCAATATTTGCTTCATTCATGCCTCATAACTTTACCTAAATCTCTACCTGATTATTTTGTCTCCAATAGCCAGACGAACTTCAGTGAGGATAGTAATGGATCTTGAAATGAAACTTTGTTCAATTCAAGCTTTGCATGTGTTGTTAATGATTATTTTTAGTGGTATAATGCTTTGAAATCTGCGCTTTTGCTCTTTAACACTCAAAAGGTAATGTCAAACAACAAAGTGAGAAGAATAATCCCTTTTTACTCTTTTTCCCGATTTTTTGTGCTGGTTGCATTTTCGTTTTCTCATGTGGTGGAACTGTTCAAACTTTACTTGAAGGTTATGCCATATATCTGATCTTTATAGTCTAACATAGCTGGAACTTGTTTGACAGGTGGAACTGGCATAAATTTGACCCCGCCACCATTGTCGATTATGAGGTTTGTTAAGAATATCTATTCATTTTGGATACGCATCACTCTCACTATGGACAATAAGGTCCTTCACGAGACGATTTCTGCTTTGATGGTGAATCAGTATATTTATCACTAAGCATCAAGTGGGTAAATGAACTACTTAGTACTTAAGTGCCCATCTCATGTATGATCCTCGTATTATACTGAACTTGAGTTTTATTAAGGAAATCCTTGATATTTTACTAAATTGTCTGTGTGGATATAATATGAGTGAAAAGACTGCAGCAAATTCAGTAATGCCATTTTAGTTTTACGTTGTTTTGTTATTTTCAGCTAAGCAAACTGGTGGATTTCACAAATTCTGGCATTGCAGACATTCTTAGCTGCATATTCATATGATTTGTCTCTGTACTTAATGTCTTCCACGGTTATTGCTATTCTAAAATGGGAAATTGTATCTGCTTCCATCGAGACATTCGATTTTTGAGGACTATCTTCTTTTGTGCAATACTGCCAGGTGGTTGTTATCCTCTAATTCTTCCACTAACTTTTTCTGGAACTCATCTGAGTGAATTGTGATTGATGCAGTGGTGAAGCCTTAGAGAGATGTAAACAAAGGATTGAGCTGATCGCAAACACTCTGCAGTTAGAAGGATTTTCACGCATTGATGCATTTGTCAATGTTGATACGGGAGAGGTACTTCTTATTTAAAGAGTGCATGGTGTCCTAAATATTAGTTGGAGTGAAAACATAGCTTTCTCCTTATTTTTGCTGTGTTTATGCTTGTTAATTCCAAGGCCAATTGCTGATGATAGTCAGCATGATAATCGTTCGAGGGAACCAAGAATTAAGTCCCTCCTTGTTAGGGTTTATCCCACATCGGTTGTGGAAGGGGCTAGTGGTCGGTCTATAAGTACGAGGGAAAGCCTCACCCTTTGAGTTAGCTTTTGGGGGTGAGAGAGGCCCAAGATCACCCAACACTGGTATTAGAGCCCAGCTTACCAACAAGTTTAGACCTAACAGTCACTCGGAGAGGGTTGTTGATGCTCCGATAGCCTGATGTGTGAGAGGGAAATTGTTGGGGTCTATCTCACATCGATTGTGGAAAGGGATGGTGGTCACTTTATAAATGTGAGAGAAAGCCTTATCCTTTGAGCTAGCTTTTGGGGTGAGGGAGGCTAGAGAAAGCCTTATCCTTTTGGGGTGAGGGAGGCCCAAGACCACCCCACACTGCTCCTTTAGGAAAAGTACTCTATATGGTGTGGCCATCTTAAATGAATTTCTTAATATTATAGGTGAAATCTTCTTAACTGCATACCTAGGGGTACCTCCATATATGAAACTAAATGGAAGAGGTTATTCTATTATCGTTTTTGAATTCTCATAGTATGGGTCTAACGTGCATTTAAGCATCTCAAGATACATTGAGAAGTTTGAGACTATTTTTGTTTCCTGTAAAAGATTTTTGGTTTATGACATATAAAATGGATGAGAACATCATCTGGCTCGATTCAGTCTCTGATATCATAATGCTTATTCTTCACGTGAGATTGATTTTGGTAGAACCTAATGTCATTTAAAGTAGGTCACCCCGACAACTGCTTTGTGATGATTTATACTATCTTCTTGCTTTCTCTATGTAAAGCATGTGGTATCATTTATTTGCAGGTTTTAATTATTGAGGTCAATACTGTACCCGGAATGACTCCTTCCACCGTGTTGATTCATCAGGTAATTCTCAAGTTCTCAATTCATAAACAAAATGCATGAGTGACTGCAGACATGCATAAAATAGAACGCAATAACCAAAAAGACGATACATGAGTCCGTCCAGTGAGGAGGAACAATGAGCAGTAGATTAGCCAAACGTGCGTTGTAGTCCAAGTTTAATCTTATCCTTCACCGGTTATAAGCACAGGATTCCAAACTGATGAATTTGCTTGTTGTAAACTGGTGCATTGTTTGTCTGTGATCACTCTCAAGAAAGAAATGCGTGCAAGTACTCAAAAGCAACTTATGAGAAAATCATGATTGATCTCTAGACCGGCGATTGAATGCACTCACAATGTTGTGCCAATGTGGTCTAATTCGAAGTCAAATTTTGTTAGCATTCATACTGCATTGTCATACATCCCTTGTGTTGATTTCCCTGAGAAGCATGCTTTGTGTTTTTATCTCAGGCGCTTGCTGAGAAGCCTCCCATGTACCCCCATGAATTCTTCCGTACCCTCCTTGATTTGGGTTCGGAGAGGTTTGCATAAATTCTTAAGTTAGCGAAGTTTCCATGTATCAAGTACAAAATCTTGAGGGCGAATAACCAAAATTACTGAGCATTTGTGATGCTGAATCGTATCTATTCCCTCTGGAAAATCAGCTCTCGCAATTGTATTTCTCCGGTACATTAGAATCGGTTTATCACTATCATTTCCATCCTTTCTGCTAGAATAACTAGCTGCTTTGAATGAGTGCCTCGTGATCTTTATGATCTTATGCACCTGTCGCATGATTTCGCGGCTAATTTCGTCAGGGGCGGTGTTATTTTAACCTAGACATGAGCGGAACCATGAAATTAGGAGGAAGTCGGATCACTTTCTTCTTGGCCATTGCGAGTTCTTTGTATTGTTAAACTCTCTGTGACTTAGTTTGCCCCCTACTACGAAAATTCTTAGGCATTCCAAGTGAATGGTCTATTTGTCATCTAAGTCAATCATCACATGTCAAATATTATGAATTTCCTCTTTTTTTTTTCTTTAAAAAATGATAACACTTTCAAGAATTGATTCAAAACTTGAGTACGTGAGAATATATTCATGCTCTTGGAGTATGTAAAGCTTTTATATTCTCAAATTGGGTTATAATTATGTTCTCACTTAAGCTTGAAGTTAAAGATTGACTAGCGAACTCCCACTACTCGCGTGATTGTTGTAATGATTCGATTCATTCCCGCGAGTAGTTATTAGAGGTCATGTTGAGTGATTCACAAGTCAACATTTACTTTACATGTCCCATGTTTTGTGTAATTGTTGAAAGTAAATCCTTTGAAGGGCTTGGTTAATGTGGAACGGGGCGGGTCAATATTATATGTATAATTGACGTGCTTTGTTTGTGTTTTTTTTTTTGGTTCGAGATGTAATGTTTATCATTTTTTCACTAAACTATAATGAGAATAAATGTCATAAAAGTTCCGGTACTCTCACTTGAAATTCAAAATTCTCCCTCTCAATTCTATACCATTACTTTGTATGTTCGGTTTTGTTTGATTATGACTTTTACATTCCCCTCAGTCCCTCCCACTCTTTTCATTATTTATCATCTTATTCGTAACTACCAATAACTTGAGAAATATAATCTTTTCATACAAAAAAAAATTATACAATATAGAAACACAAAAAGTGCATTATAAAGTTAACATATAGTAAAATATATTTATAAACTTCTACAAAGAATAATATTTACAGTGTCCTACATCATCCATATTTGATACTTATTAATAATTTTTTTTGGTGTTAATATAATAAATTAAAAGAAATAAGAGATTATTGGTGACAACTAGTCAAAACTCAAAAAGTCAAAACCCCTCTTGTCTCTTCTCCTCTCCTCTCCACTTTCCCCATTCCGCAGTCCACGCCTCCTGCCTCGTTCCCTCCCTCCGCCTCGTCTCGCCGACCGCCGTCGCCGCCCACGACGGCGCTGAACTGCGGCGGCGACCGAGGAGGTGGCCACCGCGAACGGAAGCCGAACTCGACGGTACGCGCCCGCATATTTCCCCGCCTGTCTTTTCGCTGCCACAAGAACCGCTCACAAGAACTGGGGATCAACTCTGGAGCGTGTAATCATCACTTCTCGCTCCTTTTGGAGGTCGAATTTGTGTTGGGCTGGATTAGTTGTTTGAACCACCTTTACCTTTGCATATTGCTGAAATGGAAAGTTGAGTGCTTGACTTAGACTCTAGTTTCTTGTAATTCAATCCCCGGACCAGAGTTGGTGAAGATGGAGTCGTTGGGTCCTGGGTTTCGCACAAGTTTGAAGCTTCCGGTAATCCGAAACACGCAAGACTCGTTGTTTTTGCGGCCGCCTTCGTTTTGGTCTCGCCCGCTTGCTCGAACTAGCCATGGGTTGTCACTGAGAACCCAGAACCGGTTGGCTTTTCGAGGTTCTTGTCCGAACAATGGGTTAGAATCTGGTGGTGGCGTGGGAATAATGGCGAGTTTGAGTTCTGAGGGTGAGGATGCGAAACATGGAGCGAAGAAGAAGTTGGCAGTTTTTGTGTCGGGAGCGGGATCGAACTTTCGGTCCATCCACGAGGCTTGTGTTGCAGGATCGGTTCATGGTGAAGTCGTCATTTTAGTGACTAACAAAGGAGGTATGGCTTCACCATATCTCATCAGCCTTTACAGTTTAGCATTTTTCATCCTCAATCAGATGTATGTTTTGTACTTGGATACCTATTGTTAATTATAAAAGCAAGGATTTTTTGGAGGAATATTATGTTCTGTGTTTTCGAAAGTACTAAGAGTGACTTTGGAATGTATAATCATCTGTTTTATAACCCATCTGTCACTTCGTCTGCTGCTTATGAGTCAACTTCTTTTGTTTGATTATGGCATTCTTCTTTCAAAATTTGTCTTCTGCTCTCTGTATGTTTCGGTGCTGTTTGATACAAAAGCACAATTTTGTGGAATTGTCTTGAAAGCTCTACCTTTGCATACTGAGTAACAAGTACAGGGTTCATCATGCTTATCTATTTGTACATGTTTCCAGTATGATATTCTTTTATAAGCTGATTATTTACAAGGTCTTGTATTTGAAAACAATTCTATGAGTTGCTAAATGAAATTTGATGGCATTCACCATTTGGTGTAGCTTATATTTATCACTCACTCTACAGCATTGGTATCTGGAGCATTTTGAATTAATATTCGAATCTTCCCGCTTAACTGATTTTTAATGCCATTCCTTGATTAGAGTGCCATGGATTTTCTCATATTTGTTTGCTGCATGCAGTCCTGTTTACCATATGTGTTGCAAGGACATATTCAACTACTTAAGAAGGTCCTTAGTCACTATTGATTTCGGTAATTACGTAATGACTAATGTTCCTGAATGTCGTGCATGACAGGCTGTGGAGGTGCAGTTTATGCTAGAGACAATGACATCCGAGTTGTTTTATTCCCTAGAACTAAAGAAGAACCCAATGGACTATTCGCAAGTGATCTGGTAGCTGCTCTTAGGTGAGCCGTTATAGCATTAACGTATTGATTGAGTTTTCTAATCTTTGCATGCTGTGCTTGTTTCATGTGAAAGGATGATCCACTCAATTGTTTAATCATGTCTAGAATTTTTAATGAAGAATCTACCATTGATATTGGAGTTTGTTTTTTTGCTTTTACTAAGAACACTAGCCTGTTTGTTTCAGCTCAAGTAAAAGTAAAAAGTAATTTTTTGCCTTTCTGCCAAATGTTAAAATATATTATTCAAATTTGAAATGATTATGAAAAAATTGAATGTGAATCTACTTTGATGAAATTTTACTTCCTGCCCACACGACATGTAAGCACAAATCATCTCCCTGCATTGATGTTGCAGTAGAGCTGGTCAACATTCAACTACTCACAACATCAATGGGACAATTTGTCCTTTTCCAGAAGCGCCGGACGCATCCATTAAATACATATGGACATCCTGCTGTACTGATGTCTAAAACATGGTGGACTGGCAAGCGTCTAGCTCCACAGATGGTTTGGAAATGCTGGTGTCTTGTCAATCAAACGTAGGTCTCATGTTGATTGACAATTTGTCGTGGCATACTCACCTCTTTGCCTTTATGTGCCATATACAAGCATGAGAGAAAAGTGGACACACATCAAAGTGAAGAAAATCATAAATCAAAATTTTTAATGCAAAACAATATGGAACTTGAAAAATAGAATGGAACTTACAATTTTTGTGTAACAGTATACCAAAATTGATAATTCTTGCCAATTTCTTCGTTCCGAATGTCCATGAAACTATTAGTTTCGTATAAATCATTAATTGTGCATCATTTACGAACTTAGAAGGTGGCTAATGTGCTCACAAACCAATGCAATTAAGCTATATATCGATGAGAGAGCAGTGAAGAATCCGAGAATCAGAATTGGAGAAACTCAACAACAGTACTGTCATCGCACAACACCCAAATCCTTCTGAAAGGAACATTTCCACACTTATTCTATACCAAGACCTTAATTTTTGGTTTTTGTTTAACCTTAATCTCTGATTAAACAAGATTTGCTATGTAGGGAGGAGGTTCTCACAAAGGTACTAGATTTGAAAGAGTTATTGTCAAGACAAGTAAACTTTTCAAGCAAATATATTACATGCATAATGCATTTCATCTCTCGTGAGGTCTTGGGATACAATAAGTATGGGAAATGAGCCTTTGGCGAGGATTTGGGTGTTGTGCAATGATAGTGTCGATGTCAAGCTTCTCTAATCTGATTCTTGGTTTTTTCATTGATTTCCCTATTTATAGCTCTGTCACAATTGTTTGTAAAAATTTTAGCCCACCTTCTCAGTTCGTTAGTGATACACGTTATATGGTTTATAGGAATGTGATAGTTTCATGGACATTTTGTGTGAAGAAATTGGTGAAGAAATTGGCAAAACTGTCAATTTTGGTTCGTTGATTACACGAAAGTTGTAAGTTCGATTATGTCCATATTATTTTTCATGAAATATATTGATTTATAATTTTCTTTACTTTGATGTGTGTCCAATTTCTCTCATGCTTAACTATGGCACAAAAACTAGAAGGCAATGAGGTGAGCATGCCACGACAAATTGTCAATTGACATGAGACCTATGTGTGATTGACAAGACCCCTACATTTCCAAATTGTGTATTGAGCTACACGCTTGCCAGTCCATCGTGCTTCAAACATCACCGCAGGAGGATGTCCATTTGTGTTTAATGGGTGAGTTTGGTGCTTGTGAGAAAGGGTGATCTGGATTGACCTGTTGATTTTGTGAGTAGGTGGATGTTGACCAGCACCTACCACAACAATGGTGTGGGGAGATCATTGTTGTGAACATGTAGCAGGGTCTGTTGGGTATAATTTCGTCACTGAGTGCTCCTTTTATGCAACACATGGCATAGCCACAATGCTCCATACAGAAAACAAGAGTTTAGGGCAAGAATATCCATTAATGTAAACATGTAGACATGCCTGAGCATGTCATTCTCGTAGTAGCTTTGTGTTGACCACTTGATCTGCTGTGTGGGCTGTGTGTTATTTTATATGGGGTTTGCACATTGTTGGTTACAATTGTCTAATTGTTCAAATTAGAGAGGAGGAAAAAGCAATAAAAGTGCAGAGTTTTCTATTTGGGGGTCAAAGTAGAAAGGGGAAAAAACAATGGAAGTGCAGGGAGTCGGACTTCGAATTTCCTTCAATAACATTCGCTTCTGGACAAGGAGTCTCATAGATGGTGTCATGTATTCAGTTTCTTAGATTTAGCCTCACTATCCTGGAAGAAATCCTGTCTCTCGCTCCACAAGATAGCTGTCATGTTGATCTTTTAAGTGCTTAGCAAAGTAGATTAAACTTTAACAGCAATAATAACATTCACTTATTATCTGATGTTGATCAGGAGATATGAGGTTGATTTCATTCTCCTTGCTGGGTACCTGAAACTTATACCTATGGAATTGATTCGGGCGTATCCCAAGTCCATTCTTAATATTCATCCATCACTTCTTCCTGCTTTTGGAGGAAAGGGTTACTTTGGAATGAAGGTGCACAAAGCAGTCATTGCTTCTGGGGCTAGGTAGATTCCCAACTTTGACGCTACATGTCCTTGTTTGTCTTGTCCTTCTTCAGACTTTTTTGGTTCCTTATCATTCCTTTGCAATTTATTCTCTTGCATACTCTTGGTAGATATTCAGGGCCTACGATTCACTTTGTTGATGAGCATTATGACACGGGACGCATTCTTGCTCAAAGAGTCGTCCCAGTGTTGGCTACTGACACTGCGGAGGAACTGGCTGCAAGGGTTCTCAAAGAGGTAATGATACCTTTATAACGATTTTGCTGAAGTTCTACCCAAGAATTTCATTATTGTGCTATTTATGCTTCTGTTCTGTTCAATTTTATCAAACTAGCAGGTGCTAGATAAATATTGTTAATGCACTTTTATTTTGAGGTAAAAAAGAAAACATAGAACGCATTCAGCTAGTGATTAGGTGACATCTTGTTTGTCTATAGGAGCATCGTTTATATGTGGAGGCAGTCGCCGCAATATGTCAAGAGCGAATAGTTTGGAGGAAAGACGGCGTTCCCCTCATACAGAGCAAAGACAATCCCAATTTATGCAGCTAGTGGAACTATTTGTCAGCAATTGGTATGGCCTAATCTTTTCAATTATGATATATACATCTGCCTCATCAGAATATTCCTTCTCACAGCAAAATGGAAGTTTGAGTTACTGAAGCGAGAATTTTCTTGTTTTTGGAAGGCTGCCTGATCTGCACTCTCTGTTCATCTTGGAGGCTAGTTAGATGCATGAATGGTGAAGAGCTCAACTGTGCGCTGCCATTTGGAATATTGAGGTTTTCGATTTTCTTCAAAATTCTTTCAATCTAAAGATAATTTAATTTTCTCGGTGCGCCTCTGAGTTCATATCTCCCTGGAATGCTAAGTGGATTGGTTCGGCATTCATTGCTCTTTGCAGGAGGGGCAACCACTGTTTTTGGCCCTCATAGAGTAGTTTTTCAGTTCTTTTTCTGGGGTTGGGAATGTAATTTGATACATAGATGTTGTAACTCTAAGTTATAGGTTGTGCATTAGGTATTGAGTAAGAGGCATTCGATCTTGATTACACATCTAAATCGCTGAACTCAGGTTCTTTGGAGGCACTTATACAGGTGAGCATGCTTTCTAACTGCAGAGCAAAGCTCGGTTTCTCTACTTTTAAGTGGAGGAAATCAATGGCTTCCCCTTTTCCTCTCCTTCACATGCATGCATTCAGACTAGGAAAGTCTCTTGTTATATCATGCAGCTCGACAATGTCGAGGCCATGACAAAGTTTTAATACCATCGTGGCCTGTAATCTGCATTCTATATGTTAGTGTAATGGTGAGTTGATGATCCTTTAGCTAATTAGAAGTTGCAGAACCAAGGTCTTAGCTCCACATTGTATACTACATTGGACAGAAAACCTTGAGGCCTTTGTGGCAGGCTCTTCGTTTCTTTTGCCTTTTCTTTTTTGTGGCAATAGTTGTGCACAATTCTTCCTATGGCTTATGTAGAAAAGCTGGAGATTTCAGGAAGTGTGGTCTCACTCCATCATCTGATAATTTTAAGTCCTTTAATGTGTTGTTGCATCTTTGGCGATTTGACTGATGGAACCTAGGATAGAGGACACTGAGTCGAGATTGGAGTGAAATGAACAGGTTAATTATCGTGAATAAGTAAGAGATCATACTAAAGTTGAAACCAAAAAGTTTCCCATACTCATCAACAATGACAAATGGAGCTTTGAAGTGTATCATTTCATAAGTCAATTCATTTAAGGCGCAATTGTTGTGATCCAAACTTGGAGCGGGATGAAAGTACTGGATTATCGAATTGAAGTATGAAAGATCATACTAATAAAACTAGAACCCATCTGGGGCCTTTCTTTGGGGTTATTTGCCTGTCATTAAACATAGAAAGTGTAATATAATCCAAGTGTTATGCACACTACTGTAGCCAAGATGGGTAAAACTTCACGCTTACGTCTATGATGGCGTTAGACTTTTCTCAGCATCTCTTATGATCCATCTCTTTTGTATTCTTGAGCATACCTGGCTTGTCTCGCTCTGCATTTTTTTCAAGCTATACCCATCCAATAGTGGACCCAAACCAGTTAAACAAACTCTTAATTAACAAAAGCCTCTTTCTATCTGTTAATAGTCAGGACTTCAACTGCAAACAGCGATGAAAATTTTTGTTAAAATTTCGGTTTCTCGCAAAGAGAATTAAAAGAAAATTCAAATTTAGGGACAAAAGAATTTGAAGGGAAGAAACGTATGTAACTGTAATATGTAACTGTAATAGATTCTAGGTCGGATATATAATTTCTAATACCTCCTGATCAATGAAATTAATCGTAGAAGTTCATGTACTCATGGGGCGTTGATTGGCAAAAACATCATGTCTAGGGGGCCTAATTGAACAAATTTAAACGGGGAAGAGTAAACACTCGAGCCAAGGAAATCTCGTCGGTTGAGTCTTGTCGAGGAGTAAGCACCACCCAACGAAGCAGATCACAGTGAACCATCTTCTGATTCGGAAGGGAACACGTCGACACTAGCATGAATTGATCTGCAAGCTGCTGTGGCTTCACCACCAGACGATCGCCATTCATCACCTAACATGCAATTCATTCATGTCTCTCTCTCTCACTCTCCGACCCATGTTTCGAGTCCAAGAGTTTCTGCACGGAAAGAGATTGAACCAGCCTCAGCTTTTGTGGTCTCTGCGTGTTCCATGGCTTGTCATGTTTTTGGGTACTATACATTAAATTATTATCAGTCAACAGATCGAACCTCGATTTTGTCGGGTTCTCAACCACCGGATGGCAATGCGGCTTTTGCTATCGAACACCCTTTTGGAACCGACGTGCTTGGCTTTGTTGCGTCTTTCTTTCACACTGTCCATTGACAGCTAAAGAGCTACTGTCTTCGTGTGAGCACCGAGTAAGTTTGGACCTTGTATTGTGGCAATGAAAGATTGAGCAGCAGCTCTCACTCATATATTCTAATTGGACACCTTTCATAGGGTGGTGGATCGAATGCACCCGATTTATATAGAAGGATGGTTTTCAACCGTGGCTAAAATATTGGCCCTGTGAATAGCATTGAGAATTGTGCATCGCTTGTTCTCCTTATAATTTTAGGGGCTTGGACCAGAGCTCCCTCTTGGCGATCTCCTCAAGTGAAGGTATCAGGCTTTTGCTGCGCATTCCCAACAAATGTTAACAGAGTCGATAATTGATTGGTGAATCTCCAATCTATTTAAGTGTTTAGTGAATATTTTAACAAAGAAATCTCATGATCAACGCTTGTTTCGGATGGAAATTACCATCACAGTTGGTCTGGCGAGAAGTGACGTGAGATAGAAATCATGGATGATGCAATTCTAAATTAGCAGTTTATAATGGTTGCTGTGTATAGTTGCGAGTGCATTACAATGACTTGAAGATTCAAGTTAAGATAAATTGATGCAGAAAAATACCTAAATTAAGGGGAGTAAATCTAACACGAAGCTCACACGTGAGGGGAAAATTGTTAAGATACACATGTGAGTTATGTTAGAAAAGTTTCATATCAGATAATTAATGTGGTGCTAAGCAATTAATATACCCTAGTTGGTCCATAACTAATTGGCTTAAGCTTTTGAGTGAAGATGGATCCAATTGGATATGTTGACGAGCTCGGATTTGAGCTCCCTCTTTGGCAATCTCCCCAAGTGAAGGTAGCAGGTTTTTGCTGCGCATTCCCAACAGCTGTGTGCTACATCTAATTGCAACTAACTCTATATGGTACTCAAGTTTCTTTTAACATAAGTCACATTTATCACTAGTCATCTAAATAATTTGTAAATTTCTAAAAATATGACGAACCATATCAACTTTGATGAAGACTTTATACAGATTTATTATAATAAATAGAGAAAACTTTTACCTGACAAGACGAAGAGATCAAGTTATGAAATATCACAGTTCCCCATTAGATTTTCAAGGGTTTATTTTGATTTTATATATACATGAGTTCATATCCATTGAATAACTTGAGATTTTTTGTTTGGAAAATTCCAAATAAGGGCCTGAAATGCTCTTATTTTCTCAAATAAGGACTTAAAGTGGACTTTGTGTTAGACTCTTATTTTAAATAAGCGTCTGAAGTGGATATATTAGTTTCGAAGAAGGACTTTACTTTCTAGATTGCCAAAGGCATTTCCGTCCTTTACCCTATTTTTTTTTTTTAAATTTCACTTTTTTCCTTTTTCTTTCTTTTTTTTCCTTTTTCTAGTTTTTTTCTTTCTTCTTAGCCGATGGCCAGTCGCTGGGCACCGACAGTGCTTGGAGAGGGCTAGGCAAGGGTGGCCCTCGTCTGCCATAGGCAAGATCGGCCCTTGCCAGATCTGGGCGAGGATTACCTTGCCAGTAGCCGGCGAGGGACGACCTTGCTTGGGCAAGTTCGGCCCTTGCCAAATCTGGGCAAGGCAACCCTCGCCTAAATTGGCTCTCGCCCCAGTAGCTAGTGAGGGTCGCCGATCCCTTGTCGAAAAGAAGAAAAAAAGAAAAGAAAAAATAATTTAAATTTAAAATTATCTTTGGGCGAAAATGCTATTGATTGGTCGAAATATTTTACTGGCCGGCAACTGACAAGGTCAGACCCTTATTTGAAACTGCCATGACCACTTCAAATCCTTATTTGACATAAAATCTACTTCATAATCTTATTTGAGAAAATGAAAGTATTTCAAATTGTTATTTGGAATTTTCCCTTTTCGTTGATCATTCCCCGATTGAAGAAAAACAGAAAAGAAGAAAACTCCAAGTACATGGTCTATAAGAACATCTAACCCTAATGCATTTATATCATGAAGATAAGCATGACAGTGATATTCCTCCTACCGAGAAAAGAGATCTCTCTCATTGAAAATGTTAGGCATCGTTTATTCTCTCATGGTCGATGTGCAATGGATCGATGTTTTTCATGTTCGAATCGGAAAGTGGGGACGCAAGAGTCGATTGGAGCACAATAATGAGGGGCCCCATGCCCTCGGCTTCGCCGATGATCGTACAGAGTCGATAATCCTCTCTCGTTCGTGGGAATTCATATCTTTTGAGAATGAATGTCCCAAGCACACGAACAACTCCTGACTGGATCCAACTAGTCATGACCACGGTTCGAAACCAGCGGTTTCGATTCGTGGCCATGTGTGAATCGGAACCGGCCGGTTCCGGTTCCGATTTTGAACCGGCCGGTTCCGATTCCGGTTCCGGTTTGTAATTTAAAAATTTAAAAATAAATTATGAAATAAAAAATAATGAATTATTCAATATAAATTGTAATCAAAATGTAAATTGTAGGGGTGATTAGTTCTCGGCTCGGTCCGGTTCCGCTCGGAACCGGGAACCGGACCATTGGCCCGGTCCAGTTCTAGGCGGTCCAATAAAACTCTTTGCTCTTAACTAGCAAAGGATCGTAGCCACAAAAGGCATACAACTTCACATGCTCATGGCTTGGCTTGGGTTTTATACACAACCCCTTTGATGGTTTCTTCATTCCCATTCGATGTGGGACTCTTGGCATTTGCATGAAGACAAGTCAAGAGTCTCACATTGAAGGTGTTCAGGGCAAGCCGAGAGTCCCACATCGAATGGGAACGAAGAGGCATTAGAATCATTGTGTATAAAACCCAAGCCAAGCCTTGTAATTAGAGTTCAATACACCCAAGCCAAGCATTATAATTAGAGATCAATGCACTTACAATGCATGGTAATTAGAGTTCAAATTGTTTTATAAAAAAAATTAAATAATGAATTTTTTTTTAAAATTTCATTATTATTTTTTTTAAAAATAATTTGGAACTAGAACCAGAACCGACGGTTCTGGGCCGGTTCCAAAATTGTTGGAACCGGAACCGGGCCAGTAGGCCACGGGCCGGTTCCGGTTCCGAACCGCGGGCCCGGTCAACGGGCCGGGCCCGAATTTGACCGGGCCGGTTCCGGGCCAAAACCGGCCCGTGGCCATGACTAGATCCAACTGTTGGTATTCTTAAATGCTTGCTTTATTGGGTTGTCCCCGGATGTGACTAATCATACATGGGCAGAAAT